CTCACATTTCTAATCCAAATATTTGACGAAGGAAAGCAATAAACAAGGCAACAAGCGCATTAAAAATAGATTTCTCCATAGAAAATTTACGTAGAAATTTGTTGGGTCGATCTGAGTCCAGAACAAGCACAGAGCACACCTTTGTTTGAGCCGCATATATTGCACAAATGTGACATATATTTTTAGGAACCTAAAGGTTCAAGCTACACATCCATTGGGCATTTTAAATGAAAGAAGATTGTTGGGTCGATCTGACCTATAGCATCGAATAATGTGGTAATGCTATGCTTTTCTTAAAATTGCTTTACGTTTGTTTGCATTGTTTTTTTTTTTTTTTTTTTATTTTAAAAAATATGTTTCCCGCTAACAAAGTAGCTATAACTAAGCTCATTTCACAAGAATAAGATACTATTTCTTATAGGAAAAACTATTTTTCGCAGTGTAGATCATGGAAAGCCTTCAAGGCAGTTCCCGACACGCAATGAGTTAAATTGGAGCTGGCAGAGCGCTGGCATTGATATTTTATGGCCCTTCGGCGGATTTGAATGAAGCGCTTGACTTTGCCGGAGCTTAACGAGCGCCTTGGGCGATGATTCGACCCTCGACAACTTGTCAGAAATTTAAAACTTATCAACGCCGGCGGCGCATGTGGCATATTCTTAATGTATGCAAATTTAATTCGCTTCTCACATTTAAATCAATATTTATCAAGCATCCTGCTGAGCTCTTATTTTATATGTGTTCTATAGATGTGTTTTTATAATTATAATTGAAAAATCCGTAGCAGATACATTTATCACATGTTTTTGGTTGGAATTTTATTTTTCCGCGATGCGGGGAAAAAGAATGGCTCACTTAATTGCCGCCGCAATACAATTTATATTCGCCTCGGTCCACGAAATGCAAAAATAAAAAGGTCAAAGGAATGCTACGGGATCATAAATGGAGAGGATGAGGAATTTGTAATGAATATAAAGTAAGACAATGTGTAATACCGTAAATTATCGAATAAAAAAATAAGGCAAACTGTTTTTCAGCACCACAAGCTAAAAAAATAAGCTCCGCAATAAATTTGTATAAAGCCGATCAAATCATGAGCAGTCGTAACTCTTTGGTAATATATTTGTTGGGTCATAGCAAAAGCAATGAATATTCAAAGTCATTAAGCGAACAGGAAAGCCATTAAAAGGAACACCCAAAAAGAGGCTAAAATAAATCCTTAATTAATTTTTCGATTTTTTCAATCTGAAAATAGCGAATTCGGTTTCGTTACAGCTGGTGTGTGTCCCCCGTGAACTTTGGGTTTATTTGCCCTCATAAGTGTTTTTTGCAGGTTAATCGCTGGGTGTAGTAACTGCTGTATAAATGCAATGCAGCACAGGCGGTAAAAACTATTAATTGGGCTGCAGCATCAGCATTCATTCCATTATGGATGTCAACAGTCAGCATAAAAAACTGCAAAGATGATGGCCAAGGCGGGCTACAAAAAGTGGTAAAAAGAGCAAAACGAACGGTTAGCCCGCCCCATGTGCCATATAAACGAATTTAATTATTGTTCATGTGTTGAAATATGAGCAAATTTATTTATGGCCTTGCATGCGATACCAGGTGCCCGGCAGAAGTCCTCGTAGGTGGACTTTTCAGTCCCAGACACGTGGACTCCTTGTTGTCATTGTTGTTGCTCGAACAAATGTTGCTGGCTTGCTGGCAGCGTACAAACATGCAAGGCATTTTTATATTATTTTCAGTGCATGCATTCGATTCTCGGCAGGGTTCCTCGTTCACCTGTCCAGGCGGCCATGCAAATGCCCCGCCCCATTCGGTGAGTTATGGGCGTGGGTGGCGTATGATTAATATTCAATTACACGGCGGATCGCCCGCTCCTCACAATAACTATGCATGCGACAGCAGCCCCTCGAAAAAGTATGCTTTACTTTGTTTGCTATTGCAGGAAAAACTTTGCTAATTGCCCTCATCAAGAAAACAAAAGTAAAACCAAAACCAAAACAAAACAATATAATGAATGCCTGGAAAGAACGAAAGTCGATTTCATCAAAACTTTGCATTCGCCGTTTTTTCCGTGTTTTGTGTTTTTTTTCTGTTCTCGCTAGACAACGTGTGCCTCCATTTGATTTAATTATGCTCGTGCTGAATAGGAAAAGCCAGGCCTGGAGTTTTATATATTCGAGGAAAACAATCCCGCGAAAATACATTCCTCTTGGCACGCAATGCGCTGGAAATTAGCTTGTGGCGAAACGGAATTTTAAATTAGCCTAATTATAAAGTATAAAGTGTATTGTGAAGCGAAGACAAACTCAAGAGGGGAATCAACAGGGAGAGATGTTAAGCTAAAATAATCTTGAAAATTATGAGCATCTCATCAATATGCATTATTTTTATAATATCATCCCAGAAAAGGTATTCGCTTCCTACAAATAGCATTCCAGAATACTATATTTTTTCGGTTTCGGGAACCCAGTGTTAAAGGTCCCTAAAAAGGGAATATTTATTTGCTTTAATTTTTTTTTATTTTGTGTTGTTTTTTATGAATATAATCATTTTTAAAACCGCCTGAAATTTTACAAATGACGCTAAGCGGTAAAAAAAAACAATTACACACCAAGTCACTGAACATTCAACAAATTCGGGCTTGAGTTGTTGCTTGTTTGTTTGGCTTTAGTTTACTTTGACTCGATTAATATTCAAATAACTTCAATTGCAGCCCCTGTTGGTATTACGATTGCGTGTAGTTTTGACGTTCGCCAGCCGCAAATGTATCAAACTCTTGCCATTTGACAAGGCCAAAGTCCATGATTTATGGCTGCCATTACTTTATGCTTAGCTGCACGGATTCGTGACATATTATTACTGCAATTGCCAGGCAACATTGGGGCTTAGGAATAATTTTCCTTCTTATCGGCACAGTTTACCCAGCATTTGCTAGAAACTGAAAATGTTTGTAGCCAACTGCTCACAAAATGGCCACTTTATTATTCTCCTGGCAGCCAATGAAAATAGTTTAACTTCTTCTGCATGATGTATTCAGAATGAAATTTGTTTGCCTGCGACATTGTGTTGTTTTATGAGTTTTGTTCGGAATTAAAAATTAATTGCTCTTTATAAAAGCAATATATTTTTACGCATTTGGTTCATTTTTCAGCATTCACTATAATTTTAATGACACATGCTTGTTTGCTTTACACATATCAATTCATGTGCAGGAAATAAATAAATCATTGTTTCGAATTTGGCATTTTATAAACCTTATCCATATTTCAGGACTCTAAAAAAAAGTAAATTCTTTCATTGGCGCAAAATATGTGATTGTGCTTGCGATTGGTTAATATTTTGTTTGCTTTTCTGATACCGCTGGTCCAAAAACCAAATTAATTTTACGGTCGAAAGCCTGCATGCATAATAATTAACAGAACCCAGAATATTTGGGTAGATGTTGTTTTTAGTTTTGACTTTATCAATTGATTCATGCCAATTTCATTTACCCCGTGTGTGCTTAATAAGCGACTGCATCATCTGGGAAGCGCGCGTCGTGTGAGCGTTTATTAATTTATGCTTTTAAATGATGGCCGATTGCACACAAACAGCCCTTCGCCTGTCCTCTCCAGCCCCTGTGCCAAATTTTGCATATTAATTGCTCATTAATTGTTGATTAGCTTTCAAGTGCCGCGTGGTCGGCCTGCTAAGCCCCTGGTAATCAGAGTTCAGGCTCAAGAATACCCGAACTTGTCCAAGGCAACTCGGTATTAGTGCGACAAAATGTGTAATCAATCAAAAAGGGGAAAGCCCTCTCCGCAGTTTGGGGAGTTCTTTCCTCGGCGGCCCAAATACTTGCAATTAAGCATTATTAATCACAGCGACTAAGCAACACCAGCAGCTATCCAAAGCTATGCACGAAGTGAGCACTTCCGCTCCTGGCAAATAATTACATTGGTCATCGCCCCTGGTGGTGGTCACTTCGCTAATGTGTGCGTATTATTTTCCCATCAAAATTAATATTTAATTAAAAGTAAAGTGCGGGGGTTGAACACGCGCCGAAAAAGTTAATTTCCCTTTGGGAAAACCACCATGATATTGTTCTTTGCTCGGCAACTTAATGAATAAGAGTCGAACAAATGGCGGAACCTTTGAGTAATGCTTCATCGAATGAGAAAGTGATTGCAGACGAAAAGTATTTATGTTTCCTTGGTTTTGTTTATTTTGATTTAAAATGCTAATAATATTATGATATTTGTAACTAAATTATGCCGCAATACTTTTTTCCATGTGCTTGTCAAAGAAAACTCTATTTTATAAAAAGTTATGATAAACAATCACTGATGTCACTTTATTTACTACATAACATAAATTTTTAATAAGCGCGTAAAAATGATTTTTAATTTTTAATTGAATTATATATATATATATTAATTTGTTCACTATTTTAAAAGCTTCCTTAGTGTAAAGGTAAATTGATTATGAATAAATATTAACATTTAGTGCACCTGAATATTTCGAAAAAAAACTCAGCAAGGGCAAAAAATGCTCGCCGAACAGAATACAATTAAGCCCCAATGATTGACAGAGTTCATTGTCAGGTCGCGATCACAATCCGATTATGGACTAATTGCGCTACTCATGTCAAATTCCGAACCTCGGGAGTGGAAGGACGATTGTCTGACTGACAGAGAACAAGAGCTATCGAATAAAGAAATGCGCCAATCGGCAGAATATTCTTGGCCAAAACACTTGACTTGTGCGTGCCCGCAAGTCGACAACTAATCAATCAGGGAGGACCCATGGTCTTAGCCATTTCTAGGCTTTTTCGAACGGCATCGCATGATGGATTGGGTCGGTTGAAGTTTGATTTGGCGTTTTTTTACGGGAGCGCCAACTTTCATCGCGTCTGAGAGCCCATTTCAAGTTAAATCTCGCGTGGCGAAGTGACCACAGAAGAGAAGGCAGTGAGTTTGCTTTAATTGTGGCTTGATTTATGACTCAATTACCGTTTAATAGTCCAGACCGAATCCAAGTGCACGGCTTTGATTTGCAAAATTTACTTTCTTCGCCAATGGTTTTTCTATCTCGTCACACTTCACTGGCCTTTCGCACCAAGGCTTTTGGCTCGGGCGTAAAATTAAATTTTCTTTAATATTTCTTTAGCCGGGATATGCTTTTCACTTTTCGTGCCTTCTGGCTGCCATTTGGCTGACTATTTATTTCTATTTTTCTGCCGGGGCAAGTTGGCGCCTCACACACACGGACACTCTGCATACGGCACACACACTGGCACACTCACTTAAATCTGTGGGCTCCTTGCGACTTCCGGCGTTCCCACGGCCTTTATCTTCTTTATATTCTCGGTTAGGACAGATATATCCGTTCGCTTACTTTTCTGGGCGTTGTTTTTGGTCGCGCCTTGTCAATGCAACAACTTCAACGCGCACACAGCCACACATCCTATCCAAATCACACACCCACACACTGGGTGTTTTTTTTTTTCAGAACGATTTTTGGGAAAAAAAGCGACGCGCTCGGTTCGTTCTTAAAGCGCTTGCACGGTCGCCCGATAGCCGCTACCAAACAACACAAATATCGAACGTGAACTGACATGGAAATTCGCCACTTCAGCCAGCCGAGAAGAGGCCCAGGCCACATGGATGCCGTTCGTCCTTCTCGGCCAACTCCGCTCGGATTTAGCCGACTCTGAACACCCGGCGACTGCAGCGCCAGACGGGCGTGCGGCGAACTAATCGAGAGAGCGGTGAGCATTTTAGGGAGCGGGCGCATGGCATTTACCGCTTGTTTGGGGCGGGAAAGTCCTCTGAGACACTTTCTCCTTCGGGCGGGGAAAGGTTTTTGTTAGGGGGAAATTTTCCCCTTTCGTCGGAGTTCGAAAATTTTTAGCCCATCTAACTTGTTGCTAATGAACATCAAGACGGAGGTGAAGGAGAATTAAACACTTCGCTGTGGAAGGCTGTTAACTACAATACATTTATATTTTTCTAAAACAGAAAATCGTCTTTGACTTAAGAAAATGGTTTTTGATTTGGGTTTATGTGCTATTTATCGACACTGGTAAAAAAAAAAACATGGTAAATGTCTCTATTTCATCATTGAATCAATTATTTTTCATGACGATTTAGAACCACACATGGAAATAGTAAATATTAATATGTCACATAGTTATTTTTTATCTAATTATGCGTATAGTAAATTCAAACATTTTTGTATTTGATTCAAATGTGCCAGAATAGTTAAAAATTCTAAATTTAAATATGCTTCGTAGTAAATCATAGTAACTATTTTCATAGTTGATTTGAACCTTTCAAACTTCAATTCTGTAAGAATAAATATTTATTTCAAATTTAGTTCATATTCAAACAGAAAGCCCATAATTATTTTGAACATTTTTTTGTTTTAATATTGACCTATTTCAAATAAATATGACACATTATTAATTTATTTTTTTTTATTTTGAAAAAAGCTTGAAAGTATAAAAAATACAACAAAAGAATACATTATTAATATATTAAATTCATTTTAACTTTTCTTCTTCACTGTATCCTTTATTTTGCATTGATAGCTTTTTCTATTAAACAAATTTATAAACTGTAAATAAAAAATCAATAAATACTTTATTAAAATCACTTACCTAAATGAGCTCGTCCCAGCGCAATAATAATAATATTTACAATAATGGCAACAGAGGGCAAGGTGGCAGAAAAGCTCAAACTGCTCCTGAAATCAAACCATCCACATCTTAAGGATGAAACCCTTTATATGGGAAATGGACGTGAAAGCAAAAAACATAAGGCCAGAATTTTGAAAATGACGGTTTTATGAAGTGTATGAAATCATGTGTATTGAGGATCAAAGGATGCCAAGTAGCCAAGATGCGAAAAACAAATGCGCGATCTCCGTTTTTTGGTTGCTTGACCTTGCATTTACAACACATACAAATGTATGTATGTTGCTGTACACATGAATATAAACAAAAATGCATAAAGGTAAAATGTATTTCATATAGTACTCATGCTTGAATATGAAAATATGAATTTTCAGCGCATTTTGCTTTTACTCTCTGTCCTCTTCGTTTCCCTTAACTAATTCAAAAGTTGATGTTGTTCAGCATTAGTAGATATTGATGCCGTTTAACAATTACATATAAAAAATAACACACACATATTTTGTGAATGCACGTAAATACATGTTTATTATGTGTATACGTGTGTCAACTTTTAATAATTCCCATATTTATATTAATAGGTTTATGTTTCAAATAAATTGCTTAAAAGTTTAAATCTATTGAATAGCCCTATTCTATTGTCAAAAATAACATAACACAACACTGAATTTAGTATTTTGATCAGACCTATAATTTGGTCACATTCGGATTTTTCTCCTTTCTTTTTCACGATTCCTGTGAATGTGGCGTGTGTTATTAATAACTCATAAAATAATAACTGTAATATAAAACCAATCTTACTGTGTTATTTGTCTTGGTGCTAAAGGATTACAACAAAATCAAATATGAAATAATATTCGCTAAACTATGTTAATTTGATACTACCAATCGTAATTGTAAAAATTACGATTTATTTTCTTTTACAACTTAACAAAAAAAATAATAAATATTATCCACTTTGATTTAATTATGTTCACATTTGCATTTGCCTTTGTCTTTGCCCATGCCTTTGGCCTTGGGGTCCATTTTTGATTTCCCTACCAAGATAAACAAACAAATCTTAAAGTAAACATAGTTTCCACCCGAAGCCCAATCAATTGCGTTCTAAATTCAAACTATTGCGATCCAAGCCCAAACAAATTGCATCGGTCAGCATATTTGAATTTCACAATAGGATGCCATGATTTCATCCTAAGCTTACATATATTCTAAACAAAAGGAAACGTTCGAGAAGCTCAAAGAAAAGCTTCTGGCCGAGGTTCGTTGGATAAGATTTTAGAATTAAGCGGGTAGTCCATCTTTGATCAAGAAACATTTCGGAAGTAAAAAATTCGATAGTGAAAAATAAAGTGTATTGTACTTGTGAATTTAAATGAAAAGGTTTAACATCAAGTTACAAAAAATAAAAAATATATTTTTTTAACAATATTAATAATTTGCACACTTACTACTTGACAATTTCCCCCATTGAAAATTCTAACAATTTTCAGTGTTTTAGTGGGTGGCTTTCAATAACAATTTTTAAATGGTTAAATTTTCCATCGGGCTGTTGATCGTTTCAGACCGCTCGCTCTTCAGCGCCTTTTTCACTGCGTCTACTATGGCAGTAGTCTTCATAGTTTTTATGTGGCTGGCGTCCTTAGCTTTTCGAATCGCCATACATGAGCGGTGACGCATACGGTTTCTATTCCGCGGTCGTGGTAACCCCCCTGGAGGTGCAGGTGCAAAAGGTTGCCTATACTGCGGTGGTGGTGGCGGTGAAAGGGGTGTAGGGTATGGGTAATGGGGTTGAGGTTGAGGTTGCTGATAGTAAGCAACGGTAACCGCGTATGGTGACGGGTATTGGGGGTATGGGAAATTGTAAGGATTCATCTGCAAAAAATTAAAAAACTGTAATTTGGAATAAAATGTCAACATTTTTCTTAACATATTTTGTAAGATATTTTTCTTACTTTGACTTCTTACTTAGGAAAATTTATATAATTTGGTCAACAATCGAAGGAAATTCAGACGCTTTTATTCTTAACTATGATGCAATGGCGTGTTCTATTATAATGGAAATTAAATCGTCTCAGTGGACATTTGTCAGGACGGACTTATTTTCATAGTAGTTAAGGATCTCTAATCCATTCTGAAAGTACAAAATATTTTGAAAAATGTAAAAAAAATGAATGTTTAATTAAATATGGCAAAGTGAAACTACATTACGCAAAAAATTATCCCTTAAAATTTAAAAACATACAAATAACAAATATAGCTTACCAACTGCAATTGGGACGCGTGAACGATATTTTCTGGCGGCAAATGACCATGTAACCACTGTTTTACTTTCGAATCCGCAGATATTGTTTGATTATCGATATTAAACTGTTGATTGATTATTAGCACTAAAGTGTTTTTTATTACATTGGGGATAGCATCGCGTATGTCCTCAGAATTAATATATTTTAACGACCGATAGGTTACCCCACCTGCTGTTTAAAAACATAGTAAATAATATGTATTTAGCACAAACGAATTAAATAAATCTTATATTTTAGATCTTAAAAAATTTGTTCTTGATTAGTAAAACCTCCAACTGGGCTTCGTCATCCAAAACTTCATTACTGTTTTCAGCCTCAATATCTGGGATATAAGAAAAGCCTAAAACAAATTTATTGCAGAATTATTCATACAACGATATAACATATCGAATTAGCTACTTTCTTCTTTATCGGTTTTTATTTCATTGTTTAAGCTTCAGTTATTAACATTGTATCATCATCTGGGCAACAATTACTAGATACTGATGTGGATGTTAATACATTCATTGAAAGCATTTTTGACGTAATGATGTTAAATTCATTCATCGTTGGATTGGTATTTGTTGCTCCGCGAGCCCTTATTAAATAAAATAGTTTTTCCAAGGGGTCTTGATTCAATTTTGCGGTTGATATATACAATATTTCGGAGCTCGACACACTTTCAGACAGTGCAAGTACAGATTATTTCGTAAATGCAATACACTATTTGTGGATATCTCCGACTTTTAGTCGGCTGCCACACGCTTGATCTGGCCGTGCTAAAAAGAAAGAGGAAAACACAGTTAAAATATCTTCAATGCAGACAACAATTAAAACCATAACTTTGACTTCTAAACTTAAAACTACAGCATAAACCAATTTACCAATTACAAATGTAAACAATGGGCACGGCACTGCCAGGCTAAAATAATTAACAGTTTGCTGTTGCTATTGGTATTTTCTATGACTGCTGAACGGTCACTTTCCTGAGCTTGTAAGTCTAGTATTTTTTCTCTGTTATCTCTGGTTTTCTCTGTTAATGTTAATGTTAATGTTAACTTATGTACACAAATATAGCTAGCCGCACCGCTCATTCTGCGCCTGACTTCTTAAGTGCATACACGCACACAACTGAAAAACATGCAGGCGCGCACGGTGGCGTCCTAAAAGACATGAAAAAAACATAATTTAAATTACAATTGAAATAAAAAAAAACCTTTCACTCATCTGCCTCAGCCACATTTAGGCTCCTTTCTGGTTCACGCAGATGTGACTGCGGGGGACTTTTCCATCATGATTTGGTCTTTCTCCATCTAATTGGACGTCATTAAATCTCGTTCGAGGTTTCTAAGGGCTAACTGGCTGGGTAAGCCACTTTTGGCTGTTCCTTCTGATGTGACTGCGGCAAGGGATGCGGTTGCGGGAAAAAAATAAAAAATATAATTAATAAACATATGTGCAATAAACAAAATCAAAAGAAAACTACACTTACCTGCCACAACTGCGTTCCGGCTCCTGTAAAATTCCTGCTGAAGAGACTGCGGCGAGGGATGCGACTGCGGGAATATAATAAAAAATATAAATAAAAACACATGCGCAATAAATTAAATCAAATCAA